TGGCAGGCTGCCTTCCAGGTAATTGGTCTTTCATTTCTTATCCCTGATCTCATTTTGCAGTTTTTGTTGGGTCGGAAAGAAGAAGAGGCAGTGCTGGTTGGGGGTGAGTGGTCTCCTTCCCTGGATGGCCTCGATCCCAAGGGCGACCCGCAGGTGCTAGTCCGCACTGCCATCCGCTGTGCGCAGGCCCAAACCGGCATTGACTTGAGCGCCTGCACAAAGTGGTGAGTGGCTGCCCATGGGCCAGGTATTGGCGAGTTGAATTGGCGACTGCTCAGGCCAAGCTTCTGCACCTCTTTGATCTGTTAGCTCTCCTGTTCCCTGGCCCCAGCTCATTGCTCCCTGCAGCTCTCACAAATGGTCACCTTGATCATGAGCATGATGGGATGTGTATGTAGAAGGGCAGCTGACCACCCCACCTTAGGCTCGTCAGATAGGACCCCCCCCTTCAGTGACCTTCAGTGCTTCTTGTTGCCTTAGCACCTTGGAGAGTAAATGTCTGCTTACTTGTGTCTCCCCATTGACTAACCATTTCTCAAAGAGTCAGTCTATTATTTTTGAACTTTTAAAGCTTGGCTTGCAGTATGTGCTCATTAAATGTTGATTGGACACTGAAGTACTTGCTTGCAGATGTCTTGAGCCACTACTTCATTTTCCCTTTGCTTTGAGCAGGTGGCGCTTTGCCGAGTTTCAGTACCTGCAACCAGGACCCCCGAGGCGGCTCCAGACCGTGGTGGTGTACCTGCCGGACGTCTGGACCATCATGCCTACTTTGGAAGAGTGGGAAGCCCTGTGCCAGCAGAAAGCTGCAGAGGCAGCTCCCCCGGCCCAGGAGGTGCCAGTGGTAAGGCGGAGCCTTATGAACAGGTGGGGAGAGTTGGTGCCCCGACCTGAGCCCAGGTAGTCACAGCTCTTGGCTTTTAACACAGGAAGCAGAACCTACTGAACTGGCAGCTGATGCACCGGAGCCAGCAGTGGCCACCTCTCAGCAGAATGCAGAGAGCCCGGAGGTCACCGCACAGCAGGACATGGACACTGACCTCCCAGAGGCCCCTCCACCCCCTCTAGAACCTGCTGTCGTGGCACGCCCTGGCTGTGTAAACCTCTCCCTCCATGGGATTGTGGAGGACCGGAGGCCAAAAGAAAGGATCTCTTTTGAGGTAGGTGTGGAAGTCTGGGGCGGCTGTGGGTAGGGTGTATGGGGGTGTGGTGGGCTTTGGAACACTCCCTTTTTCCTGATGCTCGTGGGCTCTTGCTGCCTCTTTCACCAGGTGATGGTGTTAGCGGAGCTGTTTTTGGAGATGCTGCAGAGGGATTTTGGCTATAGGATTTATAAAATGCTGCTGAGCCTTCCTGAAAAGGTTGTAGCTCCACCTGAACCTGAGAAGGAAGAGGTGGCCAAGGAGGAAGAAGTTGTCAAGGAGGAGGTGGCCAAGGAGTCCAAGGAGGAAGTACAGAGTGAGGGCACAGCTGCCGAGTCAGACACCCCGCCAGTGAGTACCCCTGCCCCCCACATGGGTTCTGGGCTACACATGGTAATGCTGAACAGAACCCAGTGCTGCATGGTGCCAGGCACTGCTCTGAGCACATTATGAACCCAGAACTCCTGTCATGTACTGCATGTGCTCGAGACCCTGGCGTGTCCTCGGGTGTAGGGTCTCAGCTCTCGCATGGGGCCACACTGCTAGTGAGTGCTGTGCCCAGGCGGGAAGTGGGTGGGAGGAGAGAGGGGAAGAGTGGTTGGTGGGCCGCACAGGGGTCTCAGTGAAGGAGCTGCTCCGAGGCGCACAGGTGGTGTGGTTAACCAAAACACTGCACACTGAACCCTTCTAAAGCACGTGGGGCTTCTCGCCTAACCAGTCTCAGGTAAACATCATTTCTTACGTCCTGAGCTGGACTCCTGAGGATAGCCTCAGGTGTCTGGAAATTGCCCTGGTCTGCTCTGAACCCCATATAATGAAATACATTACATGAGATGGCATATACAGAGCCCTTCACAGTGCCTGGATGTGGCTGATGCTCAGTGTGAGCTGTTGTTATTGTTAGTAATTACAGGGGACAGTCCTCCTCATCTCAGCCTGCTTTCCTTAGAAGGAAGATGGGCTTCTGCCCAAACCGTCATCTTCTGGGGGAGAGGAAGAAGAGAAGCCTCGGGGCGAGGCATCAGAGGACCTCTGTGAGATGGCCCTTGACCCAGAGCTGCTGCTGCTGAGGGACGATGGGGAGGAGGAGTTTGGTAAGTGCAGCAGGAGGGAAGCCTGTGAGCATGGCCGGCAGCTCCTGGACCGGGCTCTAGTGCTCTCCTGTTAGGACAGGAGCCAGTCCGGCTGTGCGGTCCCTGCTCCAAGCTCATCTCAGGCTTTCTGTAGCAGGAGCCAAGCTGGAGGATTCCGAGGTCCGATCTGTTGCCTCAAACCAGTCAGAGATGGAGTTCTCATCCCTTCAGGACATGGTGAGACTTCTGTTCTACCCGTCTGGCCTCAGTCAGTCCTTGGAGAGGGATACTTCCACCAAAGCCTCCAGTGGCTGTTGATTGACATGACAAAATGTGGTTCTTGGCTCATGGATCAACACTTCTGTAGGATCAGGAGACACATCATTATCTCTCTCAGGGTGAATCTAAGTGAGATGTCTGGTCTAGCGGCACACTAGGTTCTTCTGTGAGTGACAGCCCTGGGGCCAGAAATGTCCCAAATAGGCCTTTGGTTATGGGCCCAGGGTCAGGTCTTCAACTGGAAGGTGCACATGGGTGGGATTATCAGCCAAGTCACTCAGTCTTAAAAGGGCTGTCCTGGGTGATTTAGCTGTTGAGAGAACTGTTTGTAATTCTGTTCATCCTTGTTTTCTCTTGCAGCCCAAGGAGCTGGACCCCTCTGCTGTGCTCCCATTGGACTGTCTTCTTGCATTTGTCTTCTTTGATGCCAACTGGTGTGGCTACTTGCACCGTCGAGACTTGGAGAGGATCCTGCTCACCCTTGGGCTCCGGCTCAGTGCAGAGCAGGTGCCTTTTCTCTTCTCCCTTAATCCTTTGTGAGGTGGCCTCACCTGACGTTATGTGCACAGGCATGCTCTTAACTCCCGTGGGGGGCTTGGGATGCTCTAGTTCTTGGTTATTCTACCTCCTGGGGCAAGGGCTTGCACCTTCTCATCAGAGGGGATCTTGGGTGTGTTTTCTGTAGGCCAAACAGCTGGTCAGCAGGGTAGTGACCCAGAACATTTGCCAGTACCGCAGCCTTCAGTACAGCCGCCCTGAGGGCATGGACAGTGGGCTTCCTGAGGAGGTGCTCTTCGGTGAGTGCCGGCGCTGTGCAGCCTTCCGGATGGGCAGGGCCAGCTGCCTTCTCCTCCTGAGACCCAACCCTTACCTCTTTCTCATGGCCCCACTAGGAAACCTGGACCTGCTACCTCCTTCTGGGAAAAATGCAAAGCCAGGAGCTGCCCCTCTGGAACACAGAGGCCTGGTGTCCCACAATGGCAGCCTGATCAACGTGGGAAACCTGTTGCAACGTGCAGAGCAGCAGGACAGTGGGCGGCTCTACCTGGAGAACAAGATTCACACACTGGAACTGAAGTTGGGTGAGTGGCCTGGGCCACAGGGACCTGTGACGATGGGCTGTGCAGACATGTACATGGAGACCAGGGGGAATCCCCATTCCTTAGGCCTTTTGCTCTGTGCTCCAATCCTTAACTCAGCACTGGTCTTTCTGGTATGTTCCCCACCAGAGGAGAGCCATCACCGTTTCTCAGCCACTGAAGTGACAAACAAGACACTGGCAGCAGACATGCAGGAGCTGCGCACCCGGCTGGCTGAGGCCGAGGACACGGCCCGCATGGCTGAGCGGCAGAAGAACCAGCTTCAGCGGCTGCTGCATGACTTCCGGAGGCGCCTGACCCCCCTGCAGCTGGAGATGCAGCGAATGGTTGAAAAGGTGAGTTTGTAGGAGAGCTGGGGTTGGGTCGGGAGGCTTTGTCAGGATGACGCCAGGATGGTAGCCCCTTGTGCCTGTGCCCAGGTCCACCCTGCCTTCTCCCCCCCATCCACTGGTTTCTTAGGGAATTCATCAGTCTGCAGTTTGCAGACTCAAGTCCCCCAGGAGGAAGTGGGTAGTAGTCTTTTCTCCTTGGGTCCTAATTCTGGTGCCATCTGTTTCAAACAGGCTGACAGCTGGGTAGAGAAGGAGGAGCCAGCACCTAGCAACTAGGGGCTTGGCACAGGAGCTGCCATCCTGTGAGGTCAGCGATGGAGCCTGCTGAAGTTAGAGCCCTTTGGTTCCAGAAAGAAGCTGGAGCAGGACCTGGGAGCCATAGGGGGGGCGGCTGACCCCTGTGCTCAGCCTGTGCAGGGAGCTCAGGTGGTCAGGGTGGGGGCTGCCTGTGCTGTGTGGGACAGACGAGTGAGGAACCAGTTCCACTTACAACTAAATCCAACATCTGCACCCCTCGAATATCATTTTACCCTCTACCTTGGGGTTTCTCCTGGGGCCCTTTAGTCTTGTGCTTTCTCCTGTCCTCTTCCAGTTTAGAGTAAGACAGGGGAAGAAAAGGCTTTTTGACTATGTCACAAGGTCTGATGTCAATAAGTGAAGAAAGAGACATGGAATCTGGCTGGGGTAAGAGCCCCTTCCTCTGGATGGCACAAATCCTGCTAGGTTATGAGAGCAGGTCTTGGGGGAAGGGTTTCCTGTGGCCTTTGGAGGAGCGGAGTCAGTCCAGTGAGCTCTCGCTGTCGGGCTGTTTGCCGTGAACACTGTTCCAGCCGCCCCAGACTTGCCAGAAGAAACCAGCACTTCAGTTCCCTGGCTTCCTGTGTTCAGAATGTGGTATTGGCTCTGGCCCAGTCTTTTTCCCTGTTCCCCATAAGTCTCACCTCTTTCCATAATCCGTGGTTTCAGTTTGACTTTGTATATAAAGATTTTTTTTTTTTTTTTGCTTTTGTTTTTTAAATAAACCAAAGCCAAAAACAAACCAAGTGTTCTCCATAGCTTTTCCTTCCCTCTTGCAGGTCTGTCTGCTGGTGCTCCCACCTGCTCCTGGCCCTCAGTCCAGCCTCTGCTAGATGGAGGTGCAGTCACCTCCGGGTGGGCAGGGCAGCAGGACGAGCAAGCCCCTTGCACTCAGGGCGGGCTGCTGGCTGGTCCGGAGAGGATGCTTGCTATCGGGGTCCTGCCAGCTCAGTTAGGGGGCAGCATTACCCTGAAAAAAATCCTGGGGTGGCTCTCCTCTCCTTTCCTTAGTTACAGCACAATAATACAATACAATTTTATTGAAAACTTTACTTGAAAAAATAAAATTCCAAATATTCAGGTGAGACAAACCCATTGTTGTTGCTTTGAGGCCTGTGACATTTTGTGGTAGGACTTTAACACGAGTTGAATTCATTTCCTAGGGAACCTATAAGACAGGGTGTTCCCTACACTTGACCAAAAGGATAGATGTGGGCTAAGCCAGCCTTTGTCATACTGGGAGCCCTAGCGTGAGGGGCCTGTCAGGGCTGGAGGACCACAGCCCTCTCCCAGAAAAGGAGAGAAGTGGGAAGGCAGCAGGGGGGTGGACTCCCCAGGACCTGTCTTGGAGGTAGATGTGATCCCAACCATGCAGACATGGCGGGAACCCCAGGCAAGCTGACGCAGTCCATGCCCTTTGCAGGTTGGGAACCTGCTCTGGCCCTGGGCCAGGAGGTATTTCGGACAATTCTGGAAATAAGAAAGCCCCTCGGTTTTTTCTAGGGTGCTTACCTGTCTGCAGGCTCCTGCTATGGGTGGGGAGACAGCAGCCTGCTTGGGGCTCCAGGTGCCAAGTGCATTCCAAAGGGCTAGTGAGGTAAGGTGGGGCCACTAGCCCCATACACTTCCAGGGAGGGTCTTTTGCTGGCTGATGCCTGAGCCTGAGCTTCAAAAGGGCAAAGACTAGAGAAGGTGACTTGTGTTCTAGGTGTCTTCCAGGGAATAGGATTCAATCATCAGCCACAATCGAGAGGGCTCTAAGCTCGCTCAGTTTGGCTTCATTCTCCTGTTCCCGCTGCTCATCGGGGTGGCCAGACTGGTCAAGCTGTTGGGTCAGGTCTCCAAAGATCTTATGCATTTCAGAGTAGTAGACGACCTGAGTAGGAGGCAGGGGGTCAGCAGGGGCTGAACTCCACCCAAGCCCCATAGCACTGTATCCTCTGTGCTGGTTTCTCCTATTCCCTCTACAGCTGCTCTTCCCCTCACCCCACCTCCCTCCACAGCAACCAGGGAGGAGTGAGCCACTGTCTGAGCCCTGCAGGACCGTCCACTATCTGGGGTTGACATAAGTCTAAGGGCGAGGAAAGCAATAGATCCTTAGGAGGTGGGAGGTGAAGGGGGGGCTCTGCCCTTTTCTCCAAGCAGCACGGGGGGTGGGGTGGTGTGTGCGTGCATGCGTGCGCACACGTGCTGGCTGGTGGAGAAAGACAGCACAGTCCAAGGCCAGGGCTAGGGAAAGTGGGAGGACCCTTGGCAGGACCTGGGAGACCAGGGAGTCAGGCACTGTGACTAGAGGCTCCCTGCTTTACAGAAGCTGTGAGAAGCCCGAGGCTTTTGTTTATGGCGGCTCCCAAAGCCCTAAGAGTTGGTCTTTAGAAGATGAGAATGGTGTCACCTTCTTAGCCTTTTATTTGGTCCCAATTCATCTCATTGTTAATCATGCCTAAGGTGCACGGCCCAGGGGCCAGGCCACATTTCCTTCTAAGTAGGCCCCAGAGTGGGATGAGAGAGGCCTACAGGAATGAGGTGGGGGAGCCCATCAGCAACTCTCAAATACATGGCTGAGGGCTGCTTAGACCAGGGCCTGAGCGGGCCCAGGATGGGTTTTTCCAGGGGGAGGGGACAGGAGCCATTTTGCCTTGGTCTCCACTTCAAGACAAATGAAAGTGGGTATTTCCATGAAAGTGTTCCACACTATTCAAAACCCCTAAATTTTATAATCTCTAGCTCCAAGTTGTCTTTGAGGGAAAAGAACCTCTCCTACTTGAGAAACCTGGAATGCCATGGCTGACAAGGCCAGGCCGAGCGGTACGTCTGGCGGCAGGGCCATGTCTGAGCTGCTTCCAAGAAAGTATCTCCCACAGCTGGATTTGAGGGGAGGAAACCAAGGCCTTCACATCCTGCTGCCACCTCAGGGGACAGGGGCCTGAGCTAGTGCTGCTCTCTGCCCAGAGCTGTACTGCGTAGCTGAGTCACTAGGAATGTTCACTTCTCCAGTGACTAATGGCAGTGCAGCCTCGGGGGGGGGAGGCTGGTGACAAGGAGGCAGCAACACCCCAGCCACCTCACTGTTCAGTGACAGGGCATCCTGAGCTCCCAAACTGCTCCACCCTGGGCACTGAAGCCTCACACCCTGGAGCTTCCTCCCTAAGCAAGAGGATGGGGGAGGCAGGGTGGTCTGCAAACAGGGGTGGTGACGGCGCACGAGGACAGGCGTGCAGGAGGGAAGACACGGAGCACCTTAAACACTCCTCCAGGCCCAGGACGAAGTTGCTGGAAGGAAGGCCTCACCTACAGGGGCAATGCTCTGGGGGCAAGTGTGGGAACCCCCTTGCATATGCTAGCTTTCTGCCTCATTTTCCCATTAGCAACCAAGGACATGGTCACTAACAAGTCCCAGATCCAACATCAATCCTGTTTAGGGTTCTTGACCCCAAGTGTCAGTCCCATGGGTTTGTTCTCCAAAGATGGCAGGTGCACAGGTAGGAATCAGGCTTTTCCTTGGGCACCTGTGATCATGGACTCTGCAAAAAATGAGTGTCCACTGGAGGGCGCCAAATACCCAGGACAAGAGCAGAAGTGAGCTGGAGGCCGATGGGGCCATGTTGAGCCTTTAGCTTTGTCACCTAGCAGGGACAGGTGAGAAGGGTGGAAGGGTGCTGAGCAGCTGCAGTCAGCTGGGGGTCCCAAGTGGAGGAGACCCCTTGCTTTGGCACCTCAACCTTCTGGTCTTTTACAAATGGGGACTAATCCCTGCAAATGGCCCGAAGGACAGGAGGTGAAGGGGCAAGGAGGGCAGCAGCTACACCCACAGCACACACCATGTCCTCACACCTTGACCAGCAGGAGACACAGGGTTGGCCCACATGCAACCCTCTAGCTGCCTGGCCCCAGTGCTACCGCCGTTCCCCTCCACCCACCCCTCGTCTGCCCCGCCTGCTGGAAGGTGCCCCACGGTTCAGGACCCTCCAAGAATCGCTAAAAGTCAAGATGCTCTGTGGTCTCCTGTCAAAGGAAGAGGAGTAACTAGGGTGGGTTGGGGGGTGTAGGGTCCTCAGAATAGGGATTTCACTGTAGGCCTCTATCCCCGACTTCCTGAGTACACTAGGCGAGGAGCCTGCCCATCACAGTGAGGCTGCTGCAGCCCCATTTGTTCTGTTGCCCGCAGTGAAGCTTGAGAGAGAACTCGGGGAAGAACTGTTAAACAAGGAGCCTCATCCTAGGCTGAAATTAAGCAAAGAACAATGCACAAACCAAAACAGGCTCCAGCAAAGGACTGGAGGCCCCTGGCTGCCTTCCCTTGGAGCAGTGCTGGGGGCAGGGTGGGGGGGTGGCTGTCTTGGCAGAGAACGGCTAAGTCCCCTTCCGGTGTGGGGAGTGGGGGTTGGCATGACATGTGTCTATAAAGCCCATGACTGTGCCAGCGTTCAGGCACGTGGGCGCAGCCTCACCTGTGCCCGGATCAGGGACTCAAAGCTGGGCTGGAAGTAGTCAAGCCGGCTGTTGTAGAACCGTGGCATCTCGTCCAGCAGCTGTTTGTTCTTGGCCTCAAAGTCGTCCCGCACGGGCCGAAGCTCTTCTCGAGCCTGGGAACAAGACCCTGGCTGTCACCGCTCTCACTGGCTCACCTAGCATCCCTGCTGGGGGCACGCTGTGTGTGTACAGGGGTATCAGAACACCTGGTGTCTTGGCCCTGCAGCCCCTGAGTTGGTCCCCAGGTAAAGGGCTGTCTACCCCACCCCTCTCCTGGGTACCTGGTGGAGTTTGGCCAGCACTGGGCCTGTCTTCTCCTTTTCCTCGTACTTCTCCACCTTGGCCTGCAGCCTGCGGTAGTCCTGCAAGGCCTGCTCCCGCCGTTTCACTGCCATGTTCAGGCTTGGGAAGACGCTGCCAAACCTGCTAACACAGTCGGGTTGGACATGGCCCGTTCCTGGAGCTGCGACTGGCAGCCCATCGTTCACTCAAAAACATATACAGAGTGTCCACGAAGTGCCAGACCCTATTCTAGGTCTTGGGGGTTTGCTGTGAACAAGACAGATGAGGCCTTGGCCCCTGTGAGCTCATGTTACTGAGAACCTGTCTGAAGGTCAGGCCCAGGGAAAGAACACAGGGCTAAGGCTCACGCCACTGGCCTGAGCAGACACTGGGTCCCAAGTCTATGATGCACTTAGCTGCCCCTGCCCCCCCAGCACTCAGAGGTCCCGCCCCACAACACAGAGACCTGCAATGGAGCTGAAGACTCCTTGGAAGTCATCTGGCCAACATCTTCCCTTTAAAAAATGAAAGAAACTGTCCAGAGAGAAGACATGACATATCCAAGGTCACAGCTGGGTAGTGATGGTGCAGAAGAGAACTCAGGTATCCCAGTTCTGTGTGGCAAATCCCCACCATCTCAGGTGCCACCGGCAAGTGACAGAATCGCAGCCCAAACTACTCCTGGTGACCACTTGGTAAGGTCTGTACATGTCCTCTCAGTATGTTGCACACCAGAAAATGATATAACATTGTATGTCCACCATGTTAATAATAAAAAACCCACCTTCAATAAAGAAGTTTCTAACAAGCCTAAAAGCACCCCCCCCCCCCCCCCCCCCCCCCCAGCAAACAGAAACACCCGTCCTCCTGGCCTAGCCTTCTGGCTGGCCTGAGGGAAGGCAGGAATCCTCTGCTTCTACCACTGAAACGGAGGGAAACGACTCGAGGCCTCTTCCAGCTCACAGTGACAGCGGAGTGGGCCACTCAGAGAGCAGCAGCTGATGCCTTGGCATGTTTGTCCCCCAGGCATACCTGTGACTAGGGTCACCTCTGACTGGGAAGGGCAATGAGCTCTTGGGCCTGAAATAGGCAGGACTCACCCTGGGCAGGGACACTGGTGCCCTGACAGACGAGTGCTGGACGAGGAAAGGCAAGCCTGCGAGCAGGGTTTCTGGAAAGGACACGTCAGCAGGCAGGTGGTGGGGGTCTGGCCACACAGCCGAGGAAATGACAGTGTGGCAGTTATTTGGGGTTGAGAAACCCACAGTAGGTGACCCAGGACCAGGGGAAGAGTCCGTTCCTCGTGGACCAACCCAGAGGAGATGAAAGATGGGGAGGGGCGGCTGCTCATGGCGGCCTTGCACTGCGCTCAGAGCTGGGAGGGCGTCTGAGCTCACAGGTTGTTCTCAGGGAGTTCGGAGACCCCATGCAGAGTGATTTCCAAGTCTGCCTCAGAGGGACATGACCATCAATTTGTTTTTTAAAAGCCTCAACAGCCCTGGCCAGTTTGGCTCAGCGGTTAGAGCGTCGACCTGCGGTCCGGAGAGACCCGGGTTCGGTTCCCGCTAAGGGCATGTACCTCGGTTGCAGTTTGTCCCCGACCCTGGTTGGTTGTGCGGGTGGCAGCCACTCGATGTGTCCCTTTCACGTCGATGTTTCTCTCTCTCTCTCTCTCTCTCTCCCCCTCCCCCTCCCACTCTATTTGAACAAAAAAAAAAAAAAAAGGAAAAATGTCCTCAGGTGAGGATAAAAAAAAAGCCTCGACAAATCAAGAGTACATGTGACATAAGAGTAATGAATACTTTTGCCAGAGAATACAGAATATAAACTTGACAAAGCATTAAATGCCCCAAACAAAGCTTTAGACCCAGGTAGTAATTTCGATGAAAAAAGGGGCTTATCACTGAGAGAGTGACCAAAACGAATTCTTCTGAGTTGGTGTCTAATGGGCTCACTGTCTCACTGCACCAAGAAGGAAGTAGATAAGACACATAAACATCTCTGAAGCCTCAGTCACATGCCCCTTCATGCATTAATCAAATTAATATTTTTAAATAACTGATTTGCCAGGCAGAAGACATAGGCCTACTCGGTGCCAAGCAACCTGGCTGCGGGAAGCAGTCACATCCAGGACCAAGGGTCCCTGGGACGCCTGAGACCACTGGGAGAAGCTGGCCCAACGCGCTTGCCTCAGGCGCTGCTCCAATGGGACCTCAGTTGCTAGAAGAGCCCGTCCCTTCCTGGGAGGAGTGACCAGCAGCTGAGAGGGACCACCAGGTGCAGTTGGGCCTGAGGAGCCACCACACCACCTCCCTGTGCACCCCAACTGGACAAGGGGCCACCAGAAGTCACCCTGATTCTCTCATTGGAAGGAACCCGGGCCTCTGCTGTCTGGGGGAAGCGGGCATGGATCCAGCAGTTCCAGATTCCCACGCAGTGCCAGGCAGCCTTGGTGGCTGTGATTACAGGATGCTACCTTCAGCCTTCCGGAAGCAAGACCACCTGTCTGTCTTCTGTGAGGAGGGAGTGGCTGCTGTGGGAACTGGTCGCTGTTGCTGTTAGACCCCCCAGGAAACTTTCTTCACCGTGGTAGCTTCTGCCTCCCACAGCAGCACCCCTCAGTCACACCAGGAGGCCACGAAAGGCTCAGATGACTTAGTTCACTGTTCTGTGGGTCACCAATGACGTACCACCCAGGTGGCTTTGGGCCCTGGCTTTGGGCCTCCTGAGGAGTGAGGGCAGGTGTGGCCCTTCTCACATTAAAGTGGGGAAACTAAGGTCAGGCAGGGAAGGCTGGGCAGTATGAGGGTCAGGCAGGTACGCCAGGAAGTATATTCGAAAAGGCTGACAGGAGAGTGGGTTACTGTTCACTGAGGCCCCACCTCCCCACTTGCTACTTAGAGTAGCAGAATGCACTCTGCCAGCCCCGTGTGTTGGGCGTATAAATAGCACAATGCCGTGCGAGAGAGGAGCTCATCGGGCAGCAGGACCCCCTTCTCCACGTGGGGTGCTTTCCTGCTTTCCTCTACCCTCAGACCAAGGGCGGTAAGTTAGCAAGAAGGCGAAGTCAAGCATAGGCTGGTCCCAGGGCCCGTGTTCTCCCAGACATGCCCCTGGGGGCTCTACCAAGGCACCCGATGGCTCCACCTGGCAAGGAGGGGGAGACCCAGCTCTCCCTGGGGTACGAATCCCCACTTTTACTAGGCTGCCACAGAGAACCAAGCTAGGTTGTCAGGCCCTCTCTGCTCAGCTCCTCGCTTCCCTCCCCACTGAGAACTGGCTATGCCACTCTAAGAGCTTGGGTGGGAAAACAGGCCCGGAGGAGCAGGACCTGGCAGAGGTCACAGCTGGTCAGGGCAGGGGGACTGCCGGCCTAGCGCTCCCCCGGCTCCACCGTGCGGCACCACCTTGGCAGGCTCACAGTGGTCGTGTCCTTGAGAAAGCTGACATGGTGTCCGCACTAGCTCAAAAACTCCGAAGCTCTGTCTACCCCCAAGATGGGAGAATGGGGCTGGGCCTACACCAGGCACTCACTGCAGCTCTGCCCATGGTAACTGCCTGTTTCTTGCCTGTCCTAAGGTTCAGAGCAAACTGCCTCCCCTGGGTAAGCCTGGGGTGAAGAGGCAGCGAGAGAGGGAGGAGGGAAAGGGGGAGGCGGAAAGGCCGGCTGGGAGGTGGGCTGGGAGCAGCCGGCCCTGGTGGGGAATGCCTGCCATTCCTCAATCTGTGCCCACACAGCCGGGATCTTCCACCCACCAGGAAAGGGAAATTGAAAGCATCCTCATCCGACCATGTGAGTGCAGCCCAGGGGCTGGGGGATTAGAGGCCGAGCCCCCTGGGGGAGGCTGGGGCGGTGGGGTGGCCATGTGGCAGTGTTCTTCACAGAGGACAGGAAAGCTGCAGTTTCCTGTTTCTGGTGCTGGGGTCCCTGGGAGCTTCTCTCCTGGCAAGAGGAGGCAACAGGCAGCGCTGGTTTTATGTGGGGGAGATCGGATGTCAGCTCTGGGATGCGCAGAAGCCAGCCTGGGTCGCCGGATCTGCTGTGGGGATGGCGCCTGCCTCCTCTGCCACTCCCCCACCTTCCTGGCAGGTGGTGGGCTGCTGGGGTCTCTCTCCACTAGGCTCTAGAAGCCAGGCATCAGATTTCAAGGATGCCTCGTTGGTTGTAAAATCAAGACAGGAGTCAGTCCCCAGTTCTCTGATCTGGTGTCCCCTGCCTAGCTCTGCCAGCCGTAGGTGTCCATGGCAGCCCCTGAGACGCCATGGGCAGGGTCTGCTCTGCCCTCGGTCTTTCCCAACCAGCTCTGAACCCTTGGTTCTGGAGACTGGTCAGCACGCCACGAGCAATAGAAGTTTTTCTGATGCTTCTCTCCTGAGCCACTGGCCTCCTCGGCACCCAGCTGCTCATGTGAGCCTGTGACCTGGGGCTGAGCAAGAATTAGGGGCCCAGGAGCCCAGAGAAGGAGCAGGGCTGCAGGGAGAAATCCTCCCCACCATGGCTGAGCCTCCAGACAGCCCGGCTTAGAAAGAGCTTTCCTGAACCCCACCCTGTGGACCTGAACAGGGAGTGAGGAACTCAGCAACCCCAGCACCAGGGGCCAGAGGATCAAAACCTGCTCTCTCATCTCCCTCCGGGCCATGGTCCAGCTTAATGGTCATTAGCAGAGCCTCATTACCCGTCTGGTGAGGCAACTGCCAGGGACCACCACAGAGAGGTAATAAAGTGCAGCTGCCGGGCTGGAGCGTAGCCCTTCCAGGTCACAGGCTGCCTGGGAGAGGCCAGGGAAGAAGATGAAGTGATTCGGGAGCTTCAAGGCGATACCCACCCGCTTCGGGGACCCAGGGAATAGGCCCGTCTGATCACTGACCAGAGCCTGCCTGACAGGAGTCTCACAGAAGAATTTCTGGCCCTGACAGGTCATGAGTTAGGGGCCTTCCCAGGCGGGAACCGTGGCTGCACCCGTCCCCATGTGGAGCCCCCCCCACATTTCAAAGGCCGAGTGCTGCAGGCAGCTGCTCTCCCAATCCGGCTGCGAGATGAAAGGCCTCGCTCATCTCCGCCGAGCGCTGGCCAGCATCTCTGCTAGCTTAATCCAGCCAGCTCTGGTTCCACTGGTCCTCCAACAGGAACAGAGGGAACATGGCGGAACGACCCTGGAGCAATAGCCGGCTGCTGAGGAGGACCACATGTGCCCTGCTGTCCCCGAGCGTCCAGGAAGTGGCGGCTGCTCTGGAGCTACCCAGAGTGTCAACCCTAAGGCCACACATCATGTAGCTGGTGACCCTGCTGAGTTTCCTGTCAACTCCACGTCTAAGGACAGGCTGTAGAGATAATACTCAGTCCTAGGGGACCAGCTGACCTGTCTTCCCAATGAGTGCCCTGAGCCTCGTTCCCAGGTGACGTTTACTCACTTTTTCAAGGGCTCAATCACAGTCTTCTGAATCTGGTTCACCTGTCAAAAGAAAAACCCAATGACATCAAAACGGGGGGGAAGCCAGACTCCTCCTCTCCAGTTCCTCAGAAGAGAAAGGAGACCTGTCAGGGGAGAGGACAAGAGTAGGACAGGCGAGGTGGGCACCCCTAACTGCATCTGGGGCGAGGCAGAGATGGCAACCAGGAGCACCCTGTCCTCATTCCGGTAAATTCTTGCCCTGCCAGCTGCTGTCTGCCAGGGCTGAGAATGGCGTGCCTCCAGACAGAAGCCGTGAGAAGGGGGAAACCCAGACCCTCGTCACCTTTTCCTGGTTGAAGGCGTCCATCCGTTTCATGGCTGTGTCCAGGGCTGTCACCATGTTCAGAAAGTCTTGGTCTTGTTCACAGAGGGGATTGGAGAGCAAGTCCAAGGATATCTTCACAGCAGATTTGGACATGGCTGCAAGATGTCAGAGCTCAGGGAACACGTGAAGGGCTAAGGATTCCAAGCCTTGTCGTTAGGGCTCCCCATCCTCCCTCAGCCAAGGGGCCTGCATCCGGATGACCTGCACCCATGGCCAGAGGCCATACAAGCTACAAAGCATCACAGAGAGTAAGACACTAGTCCTTATGGCACAAGGTTCATTCTGACCATCTGCGCTGTTCTGGATAATTATTTTGGGCAGCTATACCTATGCAATGACAATGTTCCAAACTCTAGGTTATAACAGAATCATCTGGGTGGGAAGCTGTAAGAAATGCAGATTTCTAGTTGCAAAGATTCTAATCTGGTCAGTCTGGAATCCAGGACTATGCATTTCAAAAGCCCTTTCCAGGTGGCTGGGAGGTGCAGTGTGGCTGGGGACAAGCATAACGCAGCACGCCACACCAGAGCGGCACTACTACAAAGAGCCAGAGTCCAGATGTTAGGTTTGAAGGGCCACATAGTTTCTGCTGCAGCTACTCACCTTTCCACAGACAGAACCTACAGAACGGGCATGGCTGTGTGCCAATGGAAGTTTATTGACAAAAGGAGGCCAGGTTTGATGTGGCTAGGCAACCCCTGGTTTCAATGACACACAGTAATAAGAAAGGAAGCAATGGGTCACAGCCCTCACTAGAAAGGCAGTGGAGAACGAGAAAGAAAGATGCTATCCAGGTAACTCAGAACTAACTTCAAACTAATTAACAGACGGTCTCCAAACGGACCCTTGGCTTGCTGCACACATAGTTTGGAGACACTATGGGCCAGGAGTGAGGGTTGTCATGTTCCGACGTGCCCACGTTCTGGCACAGACCACAGGGCCAGCACTGCACCTGGCGTGGCAGCAGCTGCTGTGCCCGGGAAAGGGCGAGTGAGGCTCTGCTAAGTGAAGACTGACCTCAAGCCACTTCTCAGGGACATCTGTTGTACATCTACTAAGTGTACTTACTTCAAAGCCAGCCCTAAAGTGCCTTGAGGGAGTAGGGCATCCACCTGTGCCCCACCAGTCCAGCTCTGGGCGGGTCCACCTACCCAGGTCAGCATCGGTGCTCTTCTTCAAGTCTTTCTGCAGCCTCCTGGTCTGCTCTTCCAGCCTGCAAGGCAGGGTGCAGACCTGGTGTCTGGCATCGCCGGCTGGCTTTTGGTCCCCTTTCTTCCCATCTACCTGGGGAGGCCCAAGCTGATACTCTGGAATGCCCATCAGGAAGAGAAGGGGCACTTCTCTGAGGGGACTTTTCCCAGTGACTAAAGGGCTACTACAAGCTCTGCATGAGGCCAAGCATCCAAAGGCTATGAGCTGAGGACTGCCACACAGCCCTCAGTTGGGGGAAAATTCCTGGCAGGTGGTGAACTGAGCTGCTCTTGGCTCCCCGGGTGGTGACGGGCAGAGGAGCAACCCACTGATGGCGAACAGACAAAACTGCGTGGCAAGTGACACCTGGCAGAAGGCCCTTGCCCTTCTCCGACCCCAACCCCCATCCTTCTGAGATGTGACACTCACTGCTGCAGTTTTCCATACTCCCTTTCAAAGTCTCTCTCCACCTGTAATGAGAGAGAGACAACTCAATCATCGGAGAAATTACAACACATTGGAAAAAATCTGCCAGCCTCCTGACACTCCCTCCACACCCTCCCCTAGTCTACAGAAACACCACCATCCAGTTCACACAGGCACCGGCAGGTCATTAATGACACAGTACCTGTGTTCTCATATTAAGTGTCTGATTCAGGGCGAGAGACTTCCCTCCCAGATGTACCAGCCAGGCAAGTACCAGCGGATTGCGGCTCCGCTCTTCCATCTCAGGGAGTGAGCTGTGTTCCCTCTTCTCCCCTCCCCTCCTATGAGGGGAGCTCAACATGTGCCTGACACTCAGCCAGGGAGGCAGCAGTGGGCAGAGGAGAACAGTGGGTATGGACTTCAGTTCTGTGTCTGCCACTCAGCAGTTCTGAGGCAGAGCCCCAGCAAGTCACCTCCACAGTCACAGGCTTGGTTTCCTCACAGGTCCTATCACCTGCTAGCTTCAGGGTAGATCAAGTTCACCTACCATGCCCTGTGCGCTGGGATGTACCAAACACAAACACTATTACTGCTGACTCTGGCAAGACTCTCTAAATTCCTGATTAGTTAGTTGTTGGATTTCCCCTCTACCAGCAATACTTAAACTAAACAGGTTTAAGTAAACTGAGCCCTGGACCTAATTCTGCCGCCTACCGGTCAGGTGAGTGAAGAAAGTGACTTGCACTTCTACGGCTGAATTTCCCCGTTTGGATAAGGGTCCCAGCAGTGGCTCTCAGATGAATGGCCTGTGAAGTAAATGCCACCTGACAGCCTGAAGGTAGGGACGGGCAAGAGGCTTCTCCTTCCTCCTCTTCTATGAAGGCAGTACCCCTCCCTGGCCGTCTTGTGGAGCCATTGGGCTGAGGCGCTCTGAGAAGTAAAACCGGCTACACTCACGAAGGGCTCAATGTGGGCTCCCACGAACATCTTTGCCTCGAACGCAGCCAGGAGGCAGGTGCACTCACAACCCTCACTGTGCGAAGGAGGTCCTGGGGTGAGGCAGAGCTACCTGTGCAAGGTCACATCACTTCATGAAGCCGAGCTCCAGGCCTGTACTCTTCTGGCCATTCCACCAAAAGGGAAAAGGTGTTTGCTGAGGAATTAAAGCCATGACCTCAGAAAGATGGCTTTCTAAGAGCCACTGCTGGGACCCCTGCCAGTGCGAGCACAAGGCCTGACTCTCACTTGTTGCAGGCCGAAGGCCCAGGAGTACAGATTTGTAGAAACTGTCAAAGCCATACTGTTCTCCATCTGCAGGCCCTTCCATCAAAGGTGCCCCAATGAGAGGGTATTAAACCCCACCAACCTCATACTGCATGTTTGGATCTGGGTCAACTCCACAGAGTCACAGAATGTCAGGACAGGATTCAGGCCGATTATTTCACGTTACACAGGAGGAGAATGAAGCCAAGAGAGGGATGTGACTGACATAAGAACGCAAGGCTAGTGAGTGGCAAAGCAAAGCTAGAATTCAGACTCCTAGTTCAGGCCTTTCATTTATTGGTTTGTTTATTTATTTATTTTTTATCCTCACCCGAGGACATTTTTCCATTTTTTGTTCAGATTGAGTGGGAGGGAGAGAGAGAGAGAAACATCAACGTGAAAGGGACACAATGAGCGGCTGCCACCTGCACGACCAACCAGGGCCGGGGACAAACTGCAACCTAGGTACGTGCCCTTAGCGGGAACTGAACCCGGGTCTCTCTGGACCGCAGGCCGACGCTCTAACCACTGAACCAAGCTGGCCAGGGCAGGCCTTTCATTTATTTATCTTTAAACTGCATTAATTCATCCCATAAACATTTAAAGAACACCTATTAAGTAGCTCACGGAGAGGGAAGAGAAAGCAAACAGTTCTGGAGCCTTCCCCGGTCTGGCTCAACCTCTGCTCCTCGCTCACGGCTGCTGAGAAGGGTGGCGATGTGACCTGAGTTGCCTTGAGCGAGCTGGAGGGCCGGCTGCCACAGATGTTCACAGAGCCCCTCACCCTGCTGCTCTTCGGCCTCTGCATCTTCCTTCTCCGCAAGATCCTGTGCAGGGACCAGCTGGGCCAGTGACAGCAAAAGTGACTGACAGCGGGGCTAGGAGCCGCCCCACTGCCCCACCTCAAGCAGCCGACTTCATCCTGCGGGCGGTGGCGGGCGGCACTTCGAAGGTGTCCAGGACCTGCGCTTCCTCCTGGCCACCAACTGCAAAGTGTTCCAGGTGAGCAAAGGCCAAAAGTTCTACGGCTGAAGGGGCCATATGGGGTCTCTGCGAGTAGAGATGTGTCCAGGGATCTTGCCACATTTTACCTGGATAAGGAAGCTCTGAAGAACGAGTAAAATGACCTTTCTGACCTCACTCCTGCCCAGCAGGAGACCCTGCGTGACTAGGACTCTCAGTTCACTTTCAAGCTGGTCAGGTGGGCAAACTGCTGAAAGAGGGGGAGGAGCCCACACTGTACTCAGATGAGGAAGAACCAGAGGAGAATGTTCAGAAAAACAATTAAAGCATTCATGGATGCAAATATGTTTTTGTATTTTGCAGAATCATTTGTAACATTCCAGTCTGTCTTTAAAATGTGGTGATTTCAATATTTAGAAAAGTTTGAACTTGCTGTAAATTTTTAAAATTCACATCCCCAGTGACACTGATAAAAGGAACTTCTTAGAGTGCAGGATGTTTGTGTCATAAGGCAGAAAGTGAACTGCAGTGCTGTAACGAATGTCAGTACTGTTTTTCCTCTACCTGTAGTTAGTGCAGGCTGAATTTAAATTTGTTTTCCTGAAAGATAGGTAAGACTTGGGTATTTCCCCCAAACAGGTAGAAACGTGAAATGTACAAAGTCCTTCAAGCACTAAGAACAAGGGTCATCTTTTAGTCATGATGTTCTCTAAAGACAGCAAATTCCTTCCTTCTCAACTGACTTAATGGCATGATTTCCATCTCTAACGCAAACCTTCAGCGTCCCAAAGGCTTGGAGAGCTGTCCAGTAAGAAAAGGAAATCTCAAAGCTGGGCTTGGATGAAATACATGAACTGTTTCTAGATGGCACTATCATCCTCCTTCAGACACTTGGACGCCCTCACTAACTGCTCTCCACAGTGAGGATTAAAACGCAATCTGAATGTTCAAAAGAAAACTTTGGGGAAAATCTGCTGGCTTGCCTAAACAACTGAATACATGAACAGCACTGCGGGACTATCTTCCCAATCTCCATGTTCATGGTGGGCATGTAGATCCGGAGTTTGCCCTCCTAAGCGCCTTCACATGCCCTTGAACAACGAGGAAATAGCACCATCACCGGCCAAGTGATTTTTGAAATAACGAATATTCATAAGGTAGTAACAGTCAACTCTTCTTTTTGTCACAAAACTAGAGCCACTGCAAGGGCAGTGAAGTGTCTAGGTCTTTGATATTGGTCTTATGGTTAATGGTAAACTTAGCTTAAGTAGACTGTACAGTTGTATGAATTTGTAAAAGCGTTATGTGAACACACACACAGCTGCAATCAGTGGACAGGCCCGGGGAGGCGAGGGTGAGGTGGCACAGTGAGAGAATGTCAGGGACCTGACTCAGCTGAGGTCCTCAGGGAACGACAGTGTGGCATCTTCCTTGTTTGAACTGGAAAATTTAGAAGCAGGAACACAGAGTCTTTTTTCTACTTTATGATCCTAGCATCTAGAACCTGTACCAAGAGCAGACGTGCTCATTTTCCATCCAGGAACCCAACACTCTCATCATCGCCTTCCTCATGATCCACCAAAAGCTACTCCTAAAAAATTCAAAATTCACGCCCACTAAAGCATACGTACTGGTCAGAGTTTAAAGTGTTACCTATGCCCTGGCCGATTTGGCTCAATGGTTAGAGCATGACCTGTGGTCCAGAGAGACCCGGGTTCGGTTCCCGCTAAGGGCATGTACCTTGGTTGCAGTTTGTCTTCGGCCCTGGTTGGGTCGTGCGGGAGGCAGTCACTCGATGTGTCCCTTTCATGTTGATGTTTCTCTCTCTCTCTCTCTCTCTCTCTCTCTCTCTCTCTCTCTCTCTCTCTCTCTTTCCTTCCCATTCTATCTGAACAAAGTGTGGAAAAATGTCCTTGGGCGAGGATTAAAAAAATAATAATAATAAAAAATAAAGTGTTACTTGTCACAGGGGATTTATAGCTAGGCAGGAATCAGGCCATAGCTAAAGGCCTCTGGGCAACACAGGTGGGTGATCAGTTCTGGAGCAAAGGGGCCCTGCAAAGTCAGCACTGAAGTTGGTCTAGTCCTTTCTCCAACAGTGCGAGAAAGTGGGGAAAGAAATTGGTAGAGACAGAACATAAACTCTGATACTAGCCATGGAGCATTACCTAACATTTTGTTTTTTTTGTTTTATTTTTTAAACTTATCTTTATTGTTGAATGCATTATAGATGTTCCTCCTTTTTCCCCTATTGACTCCCTCCTCCCAACCCCGTCCTGCCTTTCCCCACACTGTTGTCTGTGTCCATTGGTTATGCATATATGCATATAAGTTCTTTAATTTATTTCTTCCACCCTCTCCCCACCTCCCTTCCCTTTGAGGTTTGTCAGTCTAACAACCAATCTGTACTTCTTAATCCCTTCACCTTTTTCACCCATTCCCCCAACCCCCCTCCCATCTGGAAACCAACAAAATGTTCTCTGTATCTATGAGAATGTTTCTGTTCTGCTTGTTCATTTTGTTTGCAGATTCAATAGTCGATAGATATGTATTTATTGCCATTTTATTATTATTTTTTTTAATCCTCACCCGAGGATATTTTCCATTTTTTGTACAGATAGAGTGGGAGGGAGAGAGAGGAAGGAGAGAGAGAGAGAAACATCGACGTGAAGGGACACATCGAGTGGCTGCCACCCGCACGACCAACCAGGGCCGGGGACAAACTGCAACCGAAGTACGTGCCCTTAGCGGGAACTGAACCCGGGTCTCTCCGGACCGCAGGCCGACGCTCTAACCGCTGAGCCAAACTGGCCAGGGC